CCAGCCTGTCTCAACGATCTGGGAGGGAAAAGACGCCTGTGACACAACTTAGTTGGCTGGCATTGGCAACCCCAAAGGGACCAGCGGCCATCAGGCCGTCTCCTACGTACAGCAAACGCTCCTCGACCAGTATCAGCTCACTATCATCTATCGAAAGTCCAGGTACCCCACCAGGTATAGCTGCATTACTGAAGTTAGCTAAGGGGGGCAGTCAGGCTGGCATCCCGAAGTCAAACTCGGATACCAGTATGAGGTCAGGCAGCTCACTTGGCACTAAGGGGTCAGGTAACCTTCCTAGTTCGACTTCAAATGTCAGTATGAAGTCAGGCGGCCTTCCCAAGTCATATTCAGATGTTAGTATGAGGTCAGGCAGTGTGCCTAGTGTTGGCTCTCGTTCTAGCTTGAGAGTTGGACAAACTCAAAGGCAGGGAGTCAACTCTGACTATGCGCCTTCATCACAGGGTTCTTCAAGAGAAGGTACACCATCGGATCGCAGAGGGGTACGATCTGATCAAATGGATACGCCTAAGCCTACGAAGACCAGGTCTCGCCCCCAGCCTCAATACGCTGTCGGTACCCCCCCTGTTATTGAGGGAGGTGAGATTATTGCGACTGAGGATCTTGAGGTTGATAATGGCTTGGAGACTCGGAAGGAAAATGCAGCACCTGGATCTACAAGGATGTCAATCATGGCTGGCGATAGCTTTGATCTTCCTCATCTTCCTGGCCAAGAGACAACCTATGTCGGAAATGGCGGATGGAGTACCTTTGTCCCGTGGGGTTTAACAACACCGGAGCATGTAAATGCTGTACTTGAACACCTACTTGGAGAGTTTACAGTGCCTCGGCAGCCTACACTGACTCGTGAAGAGAGGATGGCCCGACGAGAAGAGCAGAAGAAGGGGCGGGATAAGGGTAAGAATAGGAACTAGATGGCTTCTAGGTTAATAGAGGAGAGGAGCAACAGGCATAAGTTAGTTATAACTAGCTGATTAGGTGGATTTCTTGGTGCAGGTCGTATTAAGATTGCTCTTATTATTGCTTTAGGGAAAAGGTTATTTCTACTTGTTGATGGAGATTAGAGCAGCTAGGTGGAGAGCTTTAGTATTAATGGCTATTTTGAAACTCTGAAGCTGCTACAGCTAAGCCTCCAATATAACCAATAAGCATCTGATCAATTAATTCCAGCTCCCATACTTATCACCGGAAGCCTACATATCTTCCTATTAGGTCCTTCTATTATACCTACTCTGGGGAACGCAGAGGATAGAAGTAAGTCTGATAGCGCTTGATAGAGACGATGGAGTGCTGTTATAGATATGTTTTACCTGCTTAAATCCAACAAGATAACATTTATCCTTAAGTTTTATCATCTGATTAGATAGTTCTAGATAACAACAGGTAGTAATAATTCAAGGGACTAGATAATAGTAGATGGTTACGGATGAAGTCTGTTAACCGATAGGCTTTACTAACTTGTTAGAGACGTACCAAAGTTAAGGGAATCTATGTTAGAAGTAGTGCATTAAGGGAGATGATACTGGATATTTAGGGATGAAAGTGGATAATAGATGCGAGTCTGGTGTCGCTTGTTGGACATGATACAGTGCTTAGTTGTAGATCTTCCATCTGATCAGATGATGCCAGATGAGGTCAGATGACAACGATGAAAGGGACTGGGTGAAAACGAATAGATAGGGTTGAAAATCGTTGATAAGGTTCTTCGAGTCGACTAACACCATGGTGATTTATAAACACGTGGGTGTGATGAAGAGATTAGATAGCTGAGGATAAAGTAACTGACAAGCTTAACCAACTTATTAGAAATGTACCAAAGTTAAGGGAATGTATATCATAAGTGATGCGAAAGGGCGGATAATGTCCCTTGATATAGGCCATAAAGTGCTCTTCTGGAGAATTTTCATCTGACCAGATGGTTCTAGATAAGACCGGAGGAAGGCGGATAATTAGAGATAAAGGCAGATGGATTGGGATGAAAGTCATCTAGGAAGTTTATTAAGTCGACCAACGCTATGGTGATTTATAAACCCATAGTTATAATAAAGGGACCGGATGAAGGCGGATGGATAGGGATGAAAACGGATAATAAAAGCGAGTTTGGTATCGCTTAATGGGGATGATGACTTTTCATCTGATCAGATGATATCAGACAAGAACAGATGATAATAATGAAACAGACT